AAATTAATAGATTATGAAGAAGGTTGGATGTGAGGAACGGTGGTAGAATATTGAGTAGGAACTACTTTTGTTTGATTGGTAGATTGAAAGAGAGAGATCATTTTATGCCGCCTTGAAAAGAAGGTGACTCAACCTATCTTTCCTATTTAAGAGCTATTTGTAATACTGAGACCTACTCAGCATGGATATAAGACATTTTTACAGCATTAAATCATTTTTTAGTAAATTTCTAGGGAACGTAAACTTCCAAGAATCTTGCCTAGACTTAATGAGATTCGATTTTCATTTTGACGGTACAGTTGGCTAGAAGCGATTCTTGAATGTGCCTGGCAGGAACCTGCATCATGGCTGTCTTTGATTGGCGCTAGACTGCGTGCAACTCAACTTTCATTTGCAAAGATAACTTGTTTAGGAAAATTCAATTATCAGCCCTTCCTCCTCGTGTGCAACCTGAGATGGATACCGTTCTTATCCTCTCCGTTTCACCCCCTCAAAATCCATTCTTCGACGGCGGACTGGCCCAGTTTCGGGTTGAACTGCCTCGTCTTGGCTTGATCTTCCACTCCCAAGCCGAAATTTGGAGTGGGAAACATGGTACCCTTTCACTTTGAACTCTCCTGCTCCTTGTCGACCTCAAAACGGCCAGCTCATATGACGCAGCCTCGTATCTGCTGACGACTGACGAGGTGAGCAGAGGAAGACCAGATTTGCATACAGTGCCATGCGTCAACAGAACATCTTAAAAAGCTAAAGACCAAATCGAGTCTCCCAAGTCAATAGTCAGTTGCCAACCCGCCTTCTTTGTCACTTTGCAGTTCGTCCGAGCACAGCGAAATGCCAAAAGTGGGTTGGAGCTGGACCCGCTTACGGGGAGGCTTTAGAATGTGAAGAGGACAAGCAAAAGGAGGACAAATGAGGAAGCATACAGCATGAAGTAGACCCGTCTTTCACTTCAACATCCATCCCTCTTTTGTTGGATTCTTCACACAACCCATCTTCTCTTCACTTGCCCATACACGGGAACTGGCAATCGTGTATGCAACCATAATCAGTTTTTGATGTTGCCTCGTTCGAGTTAAATATGCATACTTTCATAGCATTGCCCTTAAATTGCCCACACATCATGCGTTTACAATAAAGAAAAGCAAATCTTGATACGAACAGTGTTTAGGGTGTGGAAGAGAATTGGTCTGGCAAGGGGACACACAAAATTGAGGAATAGTCTGAAGAAAATGGAAATATTATTCTGGCGTAGAGGCGCGTCTGAAGAGGAAGTTTTCAAGAGGCTGATTATTTTCAGGCACATCTGTATGCATGCGTGGGTGCTTAATCATGTCCATTTCAGCACATTTTCCGCAAGAAATCACGAGATTATGCCTCCGAGACCCGTCAAATGACACGCTATTTGATTGCATAATTCAAGTTATGATTCCTCCTAACGTTTTTCGAGCGTGAATATAAGAAATGTGATGAGGGGTTGGGCTTCGAGGACCCTATTAAGAGCTCTCACATGTTCATGTGTGCCTTTTCAGGAAGTGCCAGAGTGGAATGGCAAAGGTGGTTATGTGAAAACTATTATGCTTGGTTGATAAAAAGTGTTGGGCCAGCAACCAAAATTTGACGATTCAACTAGTCGACTCAGTGATGGCCCCAACTATATTCAGTTGCTCCCCGCAAGACTATTAAGCTCAACCAGTCAACCATAAGTGCTATCGGGATTATAGTTGAGGTAATTATA